TTGGTCAGAAGATGAAGGGTTATGGGGAGAAGCAGAAGAATGGAGTTGATCAAATGGCAGAGCAGACATGATGGGCCAAATGACCTCATTCGCCTCCTATATTTTGTGGTCTTATGGTCTAATTGGTACCAAGCTGGTCACAAAATGGAAAGCAGAAGGTAGGGTGCTTGAATGGCTACTCAATAGTAGGAAAGGATAGGAAGTGATGTTCTACAAGGAATACCTTTGGGGCCATCGTGGTTCACCATTTTCAGAAACAATTTATACTAGGATTTGGAATTTAAATTCAAAACATGCAGAGCATACCAAATTGGGGTGGTACAGTTAATACTGAGGAAGACTGTGACAAGATACAAGAATAAACTTACGGAATGGTTGTGTAATTGGTAAATGCAGGTCAATTAAGTATGAACTAATGTGCTTTGGTAGAAAGATTACGGAGACCAGACACAGTTCTTGGAAAGAGGAGCAGAGAGATCTTCAGTTACAGATACACGAAATCAAAAACAGCAATGCAGATTAATAAGGTCATCAAAAAAGCAAGCAAAGCACTTGCGTTACATTCTAGAAGGATATAATTGGAAAGTTACATTAAATTTGTATAGAACCTTGATAAGATCAGATTTGGAGCAGTTCTGCACTCCATATTACATTAGGAATTTACAAATATTTACAAATACAAAAAGTTACTTGAATGATATAAGAATTGAGCAGTAATACCTGTCAGAAAATATTGAACAGGCTAGAGATCTGACCGAAGCGTGCTCTGATAACAGATTTTAAGATCGAGAATTGGTTTTATCAGGTAGCAACATAGCAAACAGGTTTCTCCTTCTGGAGGGGACCAGAACTAAATATAAAATGGTCATAGTGGCCCAGACCTTCCAATTGAATTAGCAGCAAACAGCACTGCTGTTACGCATCAGGACCCAGAGAAGTCCCAACATGCATGTGTGCAGTATGTAGGTGCAAAATTTAAACTTGCAATGGGCAGACACATACTGGCCAGAACCATGTGTAGATGGCTCCAGAACTGACTGCACCATTGTATATTTGAGCTAGATGCCCTGAATTTACCGAGAAATGTACTCTAGCAAGATCCTCCGAACTAACGGTGTCCATAACTTGGTAGAACTTAGCATTCAGTTTGAGAATGAGAAAATTAGGTCAGAACCAACTGTGTTAAACTTAAATAAGGCTAATTACAAAGGGACGAGGGCAGAGTTGACTGGAGTGGACTGTGAGAGGAGTTTAGCAGAAAAGACAGTTGAGGAAACATGGCAGACATTTAAGAAAATAGTCCATGACTCACAGCAAAGAAAAATCCCAGTGAAAAGGAAGGATTCTAGGATGGGAATAAACTAAATATGGTTTAGCAAAGTTAAGGATAGTACAAAATTTAAAGAAAAAATGTACAATGTGGCAAAAATTAGTGGGAAACCAGAAGATTGGGAAAGTTTTAAAGCCTTCAAAAGATGACTAAAAAACATATAAGGAGAGATATAATAAACTATGAAGGCAAGTAACATAAAATTGAATGATAAGCACTTCTTTAAAATATAAAAAGGGAGAGAGAGGCCAAAATAAACAAAGACCCCTTAGAGAATAAAGCTGAGGAAATAATAATGGGGAACCAGGAAATGGCAGAAGAATTGAACAAAAATTTTGCGTTAGTTTCCATATTAGAGGACGAGAGGCTGAAAGGTATTGTAGGCAGGGGTGTGTGGAGAGATACATACAATAACGATCACTAGAGAAAGGTGCTAGGGAAATGAATGGAGCTAAACACTGATAAATCCCTCAGACTGGATGGATGCATTTTTTTTATTCATTCACAGGATAAGGGCTTCACTGGCTAGGCCAACATTTATTGCCCATCCCCAACTTCCCAAAGGGCAGTTATGAGTCAACCACATTGCTGTGGGTCTGGAGTCACATGTAGGCCAGACCAGGGCAGCATGGCAATTTCCTTCCCGAAAAGGACATTAGTGATCCAGATGGGTTTTTCTGACAACCAACAATGGATTCATGGTCATCATCAGACTCTTAATTCCAGATTTGTATTGAATTCAAATTTCACCATATGCCATGATGGGATTCAAGCCTAGGTCCCCAGAACATTACCTGGGTCTCTGGATTAACAATCGAGTGATAAAACATCCTAGAGTTTTAAAGGAAGTAGCTACAGAGATAATGGACGTAGTAAATAAAAAACTACATCTCATGAATGAATTTTAAAGAGGGGAAAATCAAGTACATAATTGTCATTCAGCATCATAGGAGCAGAAAGGCTGATGTTTCAGGCCTAGACCCTTCATCCAGCTCTGCACCTTGTTGTCTCGGATTCTCCAGCATCTGCAGTTCCTACTATCTCTGACATAATTGTCATTGTTGCTAACCTTCTGCAGCTCCCAGTGTCCTATAGGAATGGTATTGATGTCAGCTGGAGTCACTGGTTATTTGTGAAGGCACAAATGGCATGTGACATTGAGAGAGCCAAGGCAGAAAACATCCAAGGCAAGTTTTACTGAATGATCCAAGGAATTGAGTTGGCTGCATTTTTCCTCTTTAGCCCGGGAGTTAAACTGTACAGCTCAATGTGATATTTTACAGTGCATTTGAGAACCTAATGTTAGCTAGACTTGAAGCACAATACCTGTAGTAATTATTGATACTGTCAAGCGATTTAATGTTGAAAGCATCTGTATTGAGAAAGAGAAGACTGTATCACTGTGGGTATGACAACAACTTGCATTCACACAACAGTCTGATACAGTAAAACGCACTAAAGTATTTCACAGGTGTATTATCAGATAAAGGTTGACACAACATTATAAATTAGTGAGTAAAAGCTTGGTGGACTGCAAGAAGCATCTTAAAGCAGAACAGGGAGAGGGGTTTAGGGAAGAAATTCCATAGGTTAGGCACTACCGATGGAGTGAAGGGAGAGGGGAGATGCATAAAGACCAGAATTGGAGAATGCATAGATTTCACTGGGTTACAGGGCTGGAAGAGACATCAGAAAGGGAGCAATGTCATGGGGGAATTTGAAAAAAATGATTAAAATTTTAGAATTTGACTTGCTCCAACATTCTATAGCATTCAGGTTGATGAGCACAACTGAAATGCTACTTGCACTGTTGCACTGCCAGTGGATGCTGTCTTGTTTAAATCAATTGATAGAAGAGTATCAATAGTTTTGAATGTGGTCTAGTGACATAGCAGGTTATATGTGCTGCATTGTGAATTCAAACCTGTGGACTTTTGAGAGGCAAATTGGATTGTGAGAGGAGTGAGAAAGGCAGGTTATCAAGGAATTTCAATAATAACTGGTTAGCGAGGGAGCAGTGTCAGGGGTCCAGGTTACTTCCAATGTGCAGCCTTCCTTTCTTGCGACAATGCAAGGTTCTTTCAGCAATTTATTAGTCTTTGGAACTCTCTTCTTCAAAAGATAGTGGGAGCAGAGTACTGGAATATTTTTAAGACAGAGTGGATCGATTCTGGTTAAGCAAGAAGGTGAAAGGTTATTGGGATAGATGGGAACATGGAGTTAGGTTGCAATCAGATCATGATGGAGAAGGCTCAAGTGGTCAAATGGCCTATTCTGCTTCTAACTTACAATTCTCCCAAATATGACCGTGTTCAAGCAACTCTGGCTCAGGGGAGTCCACACCCAGTGCCACGAATTCTGGTTGACCTCTGTAACAGGGGTGCAAGTTCAATAGAGTCTTAATGGAACAGTTATAAAAGAGTGCATGGGGACATGGACGTTTCTATTTTGATCTTTGACAGGACATTTTGAGAGAGCAGTTGGCAAGGTACATGAACCTTATGAAACAATTCTGAGGAAGGGTCACCGGACCCGAAACATTATCTCTGATCTTTTCCTCACAAATGCTGCCAGACCTGCTGAGCTTTTCCAGCAACTTCTGGTTTTGTTCCCGATTTACAGCATCTGCAGTTCTTTTGGTTCTTATGAAACAATAGTTAGGCCACAGATAGTGTACTGCATCCAATTCTGCTCATTATTATGTGGAGAAGGATCAGAATCTTGGAGAAAGAGTGGTTCTAGGAGGAAGACTTTTGACTACATGGTTAGGTTGGAGAAGCTGGGGTTGTTTTCTTTAGAGCAAAGGAGATTGGGGAAAAATATGATCGATGTGCAAGAGATTATGGCTGGCTTGGAGAAAAGCTGTCCTCATAAATTATTTAGGTATTGGGCTGGAGATGTGGGGCAGCATCAAGAAGTTTTATTTTAAACACACACTACGTGGTAATGACCTGTAATTTTCTACCTACTGGGGCAGTTAAAGCAGATATGATGAATGTTGTCTAAAGGAAATGGAAGGGCACTTGAGGGCTATGGGGGAAAGAGTGGTGAGATGAAACTGACTGGCAATCTCTCTTGAAGCCTTAATGGATTTGATGGGCTGATAGGCCTCCTTCTGTGTCACCATAACTCTATGGCACTTACGCAGCCACCAGGAAACTCAAAAAAGCATTGAAGACGGTCATAACTGGATTTTCCCCGTTGTTTTGATGGGAGATCCGAAAATTCCTTGCTGTAGTGCAATGACAATGCTCTCACCACTGACCCAGAAGGTTGTGGGCCCCAAATCCTGAGACTGGAATAGTTAATCTAGCCTGATATTTCGGAGAACACTGTACCCATTGGCAACAAGACCTGAAACTTTTTTTTATACAGTCTGTGTTTTGCAGCTGAAATACACTGCACAGTGTAACAGAGGCAGATTGAAGTAGGGCTTGCAAAAAGGGATTGGATAATCAAAGGATGGAAATAAATTGCGGGGCTATAGAATACAGGTAGGGAGCAGGAATAGCTGAATTGCACTTGCAGACAGCTTGCATATCAATTATGTGTTGAATGGCCTACTGAGTTGTAATGATTCTATGATACAATCATAGTGGAGTTAATGATTAAGTTGCTGCATTACAACAATACGTAAAGTGACAAAAGTTAACCAGGGTAATTGCCATACCATGATTTCCTTTGATATCAATCCACTTGGTCTTTTCTAACACTCTGGATTGTTTCAGGATTGTATGGTAGGTTTGCCATTCAATCTCGTGCTGAACAGATCCGATCCTGTTCTTTGTCTTGGCATCTGTTAAATCTCCTGTGAGACATAAAGCAACATAAATATGAAATCAGGGCTGTTGGAGTACATCAGTGAAAGCCCTGGTCTCTCAGTGTCCCCAGGATCCAGAGTTGCCCATCTCAACATCAATTGGCACAATGGGGAGTTGTCAGTTTTCTTGTTTTCTGGCATATTTTTTCCTAACCTTCTGAGAGATCAAATCTTTGACTCAAAAAGATGATAACTTATTAAAAGCACTCTGGGCACCAGGAAATGCAAATGGGTAATCAAAATGAAGCATGGCCATTTCTCATTAAGAAATTCCTACATTCCCAAGGATCCTATTTCATCTAACCTCATGAATAAATCCTTCCTTTTCTTTTCACTCACATGCCACTTGCCTAATTTCCCCTCAAATACATCCATCTAAAGTTCCCCACCAAACTACTACTCAATATGGTAACAAGTTCTATAGTCTAATCACTTTGTGGGAAAACAAGTTTCTCCTGAATTCCTAATTTAATTACGACCCATAGTTTTGGACTCCCCGACAAATGAAAACCACCTTCTCTAATAGGCTATATCAAACCCATTCAGAATATCAAAGACCTTTATCAGACCGTCCCTCAGCCTTCTCTTTTCTAGAGTAAAGATCCTCAGTCTGTTCAAACTTCTCTGATATCTATAACCTCCCAGTTCTGGTGTGATTCTTGTGAATCTTCAATGTACCCTCTATACTGACTTTATTGGAGTAACATGGAGACCTAAACCATGCAGAGTACTCCCAAGTGTGATCAAATCAAACAGACTTGCAGTCTTTGATTCTTTTTTCTTGTGGGAGGCAAACTTAGGAAGGAAATGCACAAACCAGTGTTCTACCACTAAGGCACTGTGCTCTGGCATATCAGCATGTTGCCAACAAGATGGAAGCCTCAAATACAGGCTTCTGTTCTATTTTCAGGCAATGAAGGGAGTCTGGAAAATTTACACAAGTTTGGACTCTTTTACTTTTGCAGCTTGTGAAGCTGCATACTGGCATCAGATATTGAGAGGAACTTTTAAACTGCATGCTATTCTAAAAATAAATTTGTGTGATGTGCTAGGATTGTACACATATACAACGTCCCTTGATACTGGCACTTGGTGATTCAGGGGTTACAAACTGTCTGTGGAGATGTTATTGGGTAGTGCAAACAAGGATAACATCATAGAATCCCTCAGTGTGGAAGCAGGCCACTTGGCCCATCGGATCCACACCAACTCTCCGAATACCAGCTAAACCCAGCCAACCTCTCCAACCCTATCCCTGAAACCCTGCATTTCTCATGACTAAGCCACCTAGCCTACACATCCCTAGACACTAATGGACAATTTAGCATGGCCAATCCACCTAACCTGCAAATCTTTGGACTGTGCCAGGAAACCAGAACATCCGCAGATGCGGGGAGAATGTGAAAACTCCACACAGGCAGTCGCCCGAGGCTGGAACCAAACCTGGGTCCCTGGCCCTGTGAGGCAACAGTGCTAACCACTAAGCCACCGAGCCACCCTGAGCTAGCTAAATAATTTTGCTACCTTATGTCACAGTTACAAAAATTATGAGTATCACCAAGAAAGAGACAAACTGTCGAAGTACTTCCTCTTGCATTCATCAGGGAAATGCAAGAATACCAAGTTTGAAAGGGAATAGTAATTTGTCATTCATGAGCAAGAGGGTGCTGACAAATTGGAAAGTGGACTGATTGATCAGGGCATTGACAAGGAGAATGAACCCGGGGAAAAGTTACTCCAAAGCTTCTATTTGAGTTCTATAAAAGACAAGTCAACTTTGATTTGGTAAGATGTGTCATGGAGAATGTATTAGGGAACAGTTTCCACGAAGTGTCTGTTTAATTGAAAAGGCTCAATATC